CAATGAACACCCAGGACTGATCTCCTTTAGGATGGACTGGTTGGATCTCCTTGCAGTCCAAGGGACTCTCAAGAGTCTTCTCAAACACCACAGTTCAAAAGCATCAGTTCTTCAGCACTCAGCTTTCTTCACAGTCCAACTCTCACATCCATACATGACCACTGGAAAAACCATAGCCTTGACTAGACAGGTGTTTGTTGGCAAAGTAATGTCTGCTTTTTAATATGCTGTCTAAAATATATTACAGTGTTTTAAATGAATATTATATATGATCAGGGTGAAACCCAAAAGCCAGCAGGCTGAGTTATGCCTGAGTTACGCTGTGGGTGGTGTGGGGACAGAGTCCAGAAGTCCTTTCTGAAATGGCCCCTGTCTCTGCCTTCCTCGTTCCAGGAATAACCTGAGCCAGTGGGAGAAGGTGATCCGGGGCGAGGAGAGCGCCCTGGGGATCCTGGACACGCCAGAGGCCCAGGAGTCCTCGGAGAAGCTGCCCGTGAAGACCGATGACTGATGGTCCCCAGCGGGCCGTCCCACCTGGAGATGCTCATCCTGCTTCTTTGACTTTTCTTCCTTTTATTTTCGGGGGGAACCTACACCTGTTAACTGGGATGCAGAGCTCTTCAAGAAGGACCACCAAGTGAACACGTCCAGCAGAAGGCTCCCTGCCACGTCCTCGACGGTGATCGGCCAGGCCTGGAGACGCGCTCCCCAGAGACGCCTGTTGACTTGTGACCTGGCCTTTTTTGATGGGCTGCTAGGCAGAGGCCCTAATGGAGACGGACGCTTAGAAGGGGGTACTTTTCCCACTGTGTCTTTCTAGTGAGGGTTGAAACGGTACTATGATGAGACTGCACTTCGGCTTCCACACCAGTGTTGCTTTCATGTTGTTGGCTATAAATAGGAGCTTTGACACGTTGCACTTGTGGATGTTCGTGTGTGACCTGGTTGTCGTTAGCATGGATCGTGGCAGGCAGCCTCAGCCCGTGGCATCAAGCTGACAGAGCAAGAAGCGTCTTTCTGCAATCATTGATGGAAAATAGTCAGACTTGGGTTCAGAGCCTCGTGAATTAAAAAAAGTTAGGTGGACTAAAGCGTACTCTTCAAATTTATATAAAGGGCTTAGATGCATAAATTTAACACTAAAGGAAGTAGATTTTCTATCCTCTGGAGAAGAGATTCAGATATACATCATAATAAATCTAAGAACTCCAATATCAATTCTAAAGATGTTAAGAGAATTTTTTTTTCCTTTATTGTAGTCTTGGCAAATTTCCTAAACCCTTTACACAAAGAACAAAATAAAAGCAAGGCATACAAATGTTTTTCAACGGACAAGTCTCATGGATGTAAAGTGTGAATTTTTAATTATGATGCTTTTATGTTTTCACTTGATGTCATTGCAAAATCTTAAACTCACATTCAAAAATGAAAGATTTATTCTACAGATTAATTAAGAGACCATACATTTCTCTTAAAATCAATTAAACCATAAAATCTAAGCCTTCTGGAATCTTCACTCCGACATGCTGCGTTCCTCTCCCACGTCCTGCCCTTGTCTGCCCGGTGGTCTTTCAGAAGCTCTCTGCCTGCGGCAGGGTGGCCAGAGGACTCAGCTGTATCCAGGCCCATCTCTGCCCTTTCTGCTCTGCTCAAGGTTGGACATCCACAGAAAAGCCTGTGTCTGCAGAGTTGCTTCTGTATCAGTTTGGTAAGCTCATATTACTCTACAGTGTAAATGTTCTGAAAGAAGTCTACAGACTTTATAGTCAGCCCCTTCCTACAGGGATGAGAAGGCAGTCACTTCTGCTGCCTAGTAATGCTTCACCTCCAAAGCTGCTGGTCCTGACCTGAAGGAATTAGAGTCTCAGAAGTACTGAGTTGTCCCTACAAGTGGCTTATCCACCATCCTCGTAGCAGGAAACTGATATATTACTCTTCATGAAATAAATTTTTTAAAAGATTATTTCACATATCCAATACTGTATACGTTGTTGTTCATATGAGCTTGGTTTTTGCAAAAATTATTAAATCAGATGTTTCTAAGATATGGTTGGTTTGTAGCAGAGTTAGCTATACATAAACATCACTCTTATTTTAAAATTAACACTGTGTTCAGTTTCCTCACGGGCTTCTAACAGTGGCCATCTTCCTTACTTGGAGCTGCATTTGCCATTATAATTTTACAATATGAGATAAAATGAAATGACGGAGAGCATGCCACTGTGGCTAGTGTCACACACACACACACATGGACGTGTGCAGCTGTGCACACATATACATGCATGTAGACATACACATGGGAGAGAGATGCAAACACATCTTTGAAAAGTCAAAATCAGCCCCCTTCTTCAAAAACAGTGATTTTTTTCATGTGGAAAAATGTATATTGTTTAATATAAAGCTGACTAGAAAAAGCCCTCTTTCACGTTAGTGTGTTCATAGAATTGAATTCTAAAATGTTGCATACGTCCAAACCTTCTACATCCAAATGTTTGAAACTGGACCCACGAGACTTAATGTTAATCAGGAGAGGGCCTTAGGTCATCTGACTGAACCTGGAGTCTGCATTGCAAGGGGGAAGGAAATATTATTTAAGGCTGCTGTGTTATTAACAAGATTTTAAAAGAATGCGTGAATTCTGCTTCTGGAAACAGAAAGCAGTCCTGGGGAGGGAAGCCTCTGGCCATTTTTGCATTTAAGGTTGCTGTTCTGACCCGATTAGTACAGAAAAGTGTCTTATTTCGACATAGCCAAGTGTGTTACATGATGTGACCTGTGCTTTGAACAGTAGTTTCCCAAAGAAGTGTATGTGGATTTATTGGTTGGTTAATTTCTTGTGAATCATCATAATAGAAGCAAAGTTTGAACAAAGGACTTGTATTCTAGGTAAAGGACTGTATTCTAAGGTAAACTGTTAATACTGCTTCCATCAAGTGTAAGACCGACTTGGGAATCACAGATTCACCTAAGATGAGAGGTGCCTCGGATGCAGGGATGTTTAGTTAACAATCTGTTGTGGAAAACACACAGTTGGGAGTATTTTGTATTTCAGCAGATTTATTTAGCAGACACAATTTTGAGTTCTGTCTTGTCTTTTCCCCAGATCTTTTCTTTAAAGGACAGATGGTTGTCATTGTGTAGTGTTTTGATGAGTTTCTCATTAAGGTGGTATTTTATATTGGGCCAAAGTTCTCTGTTCAGTATAAATTTGGTAACCAGTTGTGCGTATATGTTGAATATTTAATTTTCAAAAATCTAATTGGTTTTCATTTATAATAGAGAACAGTTTTATTATCAAATGCAATTATTCCATCATCTTTCCAGAGATAGTGAATATATTTTTTACCTAGAAATTTTCTTGGAAATGCATGCTAACGATGACATGAAATACTGAACCTGGACAGTGGAATAAAATTATAAAAAATGCAAGTATCTGGTTAATTAGTAGTTGGCTGTGATTTAATTAAATGGAGAGTCTTAAAGGCGATTAATGTGGAAAGGAATCCTCAAATACAGCCCTTTTACTAGGGCAGGAATTGTGTGATCCATTTCCCAGCTTTAGTTTTTTCCAAGAAGCAGGTGAGATGCCAGCCTTGGAGTAGAGACCAAGTTTTGAATGAGTCACACACACTTGTCCTTCATCCCGACTCTTCTCTCAGTGGAAAAGCATCTGGACAGATGACCCCAGAGCTGCTGACTTGTTACCGCAGAGACCAAAGCAGAGCTACTTCAGAACTGGGTTTGTTCACTGTAGGTTTCCTCTACTTAGCATGCTTTTCAGATATTATGTTTATTTTATAGAATCAACCTCAGTGAATTTTGCTTTCTCGGTATATTCAAGCACACTAGCTTATGCTTGTACAAATACATGTAGATGCATAAATCCTTAGCTTCTTGGATTATTTGATAGATTTAGTTTCTAGTATCATGTTGCTGGTCTTTTAATCCAAAGAAAGGGTTGTCTTAGTAAGACTAAATGATTCACCATGCCTTGGTCTGTGCCTTTATTTTTAATACTGCAATTTTACTTCTCTTTCATATATTTGTTGTTTTGCTTTCTTGCTTGACTGTACTTAAAAGCATTTCAAGGGATACATCCACGGTTAATTTTATCAAGTTGAATTAATTAAGATCATTCTCTCCTTATGAGACTTCCATACATTATTTCATTTTATTCAGTTATCCTCCTCACCGTAACCAATGAATTGTTCAGACTCAGATTTTTTTGTTTTTTTTTTAAGCAAGAATTTCCAAGAACTGTGACACTGATTGTGATGTGATTTTGTTGGGTTTTTCAGGTACATATGCATGATTTAGATTTTGAAACTCACTTCTATCTTTATGTATTTCAAATGTGTTTGCTTTCTACACTTCATGGGTTTTATTCAGGGTTTCATTCTTTAAAAACGTATTTTTAGTCGCTTTCAAGTATCCCTTCAATTGCCAGTGTTAATATGACTTAAAATCACTGTTAAATGTAAATTAACCAAGTATGCTGTGAGTGGTGGTTTCCCAAGCTTGTCTGTGGCGCATGGCTGGCATATTTTTACCTTTGCATAAGTATTTATTCTGATACACATTTTGCCAATTTCTTTAAACACTTAAGTTTAGACTGTGATAGTGCACTGCTTACACCTTTTTCTCTTTTTTCACTGGGTATTTTGATGGAAGCATTAGATACATTTATGCAACGATAAAAATAGCAAAAAAAACCCAAAAACAAAAAAGAGGGAGAAAACAGTTTCGATGCTGCTCTCGTTCTAAATTTAAAAGATGGGACAAAGTGAAAGACGTCCATGTTTTCCAAGGAACACGTTTGAGATCCAAAGAAGCATCCCTGCCTTTGCCTAAACTCCCAGCATTTCCCTTCTCCGACCACTCTGAGCGCACGCAGACCCTCACACGTCTGTCGGGCAAGGGTCAATGTCATCCCAGGACCCAGGGGAAACTTCCAGCCAGTCCAGGCCGCCAAGTAGAGAAGTCGGTCTACACACGTCAAGTTTCGGCTAGTTACTGAGGAACTGTCCACTTTCTGAAGCTTAAGTGGAAAGCTTTCACTCCTATTGCAAGTTAAGTTTTGAATGTGTGTTATCTCGTACCCTAGCCCACCTACAATGTCATCATCCTCCTCTCTTGGGCGTTGCAGCTTTTGTTTTCTCTTCAGCACCCAGTCCTGGGTCGTGTCTCAAATATCCTAGGCAAATGACGCATGGGAACATTCTCTTCCATATGATCCGTTGTATGATGTGTATTCTATTATATTCACATAGCATGCACATTGAACATAGACTTCATCACAGAAGGAGTTTCCACAGAATCCCCCCACATTTTACCACGCCCACCCCAGTGACCAACTGGAAAAAATGTGTGTGCCCACAACACTGTGAAACAGTTACCAAAATTTATAGAAATGCAGTATCCTGACTCTGAAAAGGTGACTTTTTTTTTTTTTACAAGTCCTTATGAATAAAAGATCCTCTGTCCCTACTTAGTCAAGGCATCTGTAATCTCCTTGCTGACAGGAAGCTGCTGGAGTGACATATGGTTTACATCGTATCAAAAATACAATGAATGCTCGTAATAATGCTGATTTTTAGACTCAATGGATCTGTATCCAGTTTTAGTGGGCTCTCTTTTGGAAGGAGAAAGAATTTTGAGTTAACAATATCCAATTTCATTACAGTTAATGAGTTATAAATTTACAAATATTTTATACATCTGACATATGAAAACTTTGTAAAATGCACAAGTGCAATAACTTAAAGAGATCTTAACTTTGCATTTATAAATTATAAATACTGTACATGTGTGTGATTTTTTCATGTATTCATTTGCAGTCTTTGTATTTAAAAGAAATCTTTTCTGTTATGTTTGTATAACAATAATCATTTATGATAAACTAGGCAAGTTGTAAATAAATTCATAACTCAAACAGACAGTGTATATGCATATACAGGTGTTACATTGCAAAATCTTTGTTTTACCTACAAGCTTAGAGCGGCTAGAAACCTTTGTCGATATGTAACTATACATTTAAAGTATATATATATATGTATGATACATGAAATATATGTAGAGATGTTCATAATTTTAATGGCTCTCCTTCGTTGTGAATAATTGAATACAGAATTTTTAAAATATCACCTTTCACGTTTATTGTTTGTTCTCATGTATGGGGAAGGTCAGAGATATTCTGTGCATTGAGGATGAGGTGCAAGGCTTCCTAAAGTTCACATGCAAACGCCCCAGGCCTTGTTTGCAGAGGAGACATCAAGTTCACATTGGAGCAACTTGGTGCATTTGCTTCAACCATTTTCTAGCAGCAAGGATAAGGCAACATAAAGTTACATTTTTACAAGACGATTTATTAACCCCATTGTATAATCTTAAATGTTGGAAGACTGTTAGGGGAAAGTGTAGTCTTTCAGAAAGTTTCAGATTACAGAACTCCTGACCCTGAGTGCCCAATGCCAAGGCTGGCTCCTGAATCAGCTCCCCTGCAGGCGGAGTTCCCAGGAGCAGTCCAAGGTCGCGTGGCTAAGAGCGGGAAGGACTCCATGGGGCGGGCATGTTTACGAGTAAGTGGTGGGATTCTTTCTGCTAGTAAAGAAAATGTTCTTGGCTAAATTCTCATAATCTTTAAACCCCGATGAGTATCCTCCTGGCTTCATCTTTAAACTCTGCTTAAAGAAATTGTGTTTACTTGGCTCTTTCTGCTTGCCATCAGGTGAGCAGGCAAATGATAAATACTTAAGACCAGAAAGTTAAAGTTGAATTGTATCCCAAGACCCTCTTTAACTAAAATTATACTATTATACTAACTAAAGACATACCTTTGGGAGTAAATGAAATAAATGTTTCGTGGAATAAAGACCCGTTGCTTTGTTGAATGTGTGCGTCCACAGCCTTGTTAATGAGAGGGACACAGAAAGGCCCGAAAATGCGCCAAGCCCTCTGCACACCAGACTCTGCAGATACCGTGCTGTCTGCGTGCACGGCGCCGTGCATGTTGTAGACAGGATTTTTGTTCAATATCCGTTTCCTGTGAAATTGTATCAGATGTTTGCTGTGTGAAAAATAAATCTCGTGTGCTAATACGTCCATCAACTCATCTAGCGACTGAGCTTGCTGATTCGTTCTCTGTGAAACTGGTCTGAATGTGAGTCCGTATCTTCCTTATGCCGGTTTGACTTTGCCATCAACCTTACTCTAACCAAGAGCTATTTCCTAACACCAAAGGAACCCTGAAAAAGCAACGCCATCACACACTTATTTGGCAAGTGGGATTGGGCACCTGATCTGCGGTGGGGTGGGGGTGAGGGGTGCCACATTGGAGCTAGGGCAGGGAAGGAAGCTGAGAGCCGGCTGCACACACATCGTCCCACTCTAAGGCCTCTGCCACCTTGAGCAAACTCTGCGCCCTTGTTCCTTCTGGTGGGGACTGTCCTCAGAGGCCCAGTTCTGGGAGAGACAAAAGGGAAGTTATTTATCGACCTGAGAATCTCACACATTAACAAGACATTTACTTTTCTTTTTACTAATTTTTATGGGAGTTTAGTTGCTTTACAACGTTGCATTAGTTTCTGCCTTACAGCAGTGAATCCGTCATGCATGTATGTGTAGCCTCTCTGCTTTAGATTCTTTTCCCACGTAGGTCGTTGCAGAGCCTTGCGCAGAGTTCCCTGCACGTGCTCTCACTAGTCACCTCTTCTGCGTATAATACCAACAGTGTTTGTACGTCAGTCGCAGATTCCCCATCCGCCCCACCTCCTCCTAGACATCCGAGTCTCTATTTCTGTTTTGCAAATGAGATCATCTATACCATGTTTCTAGATTCCATACACGAGTTAACACACGATACTTGTATTTCTCAGTCTGACTTTCTTCACTCTGTATGACAGTCTCTAGATGCATCCACGTCTCTGCAAATGACTCAGTCACATTTCTGGTTATGGCTGAGTAATAACAAGACAGTTTCTTAAAATCTTCCAAATAATATACAATGAGGTGCTTCTCCCACGAGGACACCAAACCTGATGGAACAGAAGCTGACAGAAGCCTGTTCCTGCATCCATCCCCCCTCCAGCCCCTCAACTATCATCACAAAATTGGGAGCCCCCCACCCACTGCACCGTGGGTTGAGATTTTTCCTTGATGTTGAGGGGAAAGTGGAAAGTGACTAGGAAATAAAAGCAGGCATTGATTTGAAACAACAACTTCCAAATGCTTATTTGGCAATTGTACACATTCAGATAATGTCCTTGTTGACACGCCATTTCAGTCGTGTCCGACTCTTTGCAACCCCACGGACTGTAGCCCACCAGGCTCCTCTGTCCATGGGATTCTCCAGGCAAGAATACTAGAATGGATTACCATTTCATTCTCCAGAGGATCTTCCCAACCCAGGGATTGAACCCGGGTCTCCCGCACTGCATGCACATTCTTTACCAGCTGAGCCACAAGGGAGCCCTCCTTGTTGACATCTGTGTTATTAAATAGGTAGAATTCTTGCTCAGAATGATATTTATAAAACATAGTAAATGCTAAGTTATCAAAAACAAGTCAAACATTTTAATATACAGAATGGCCAAGATGCGTGAATATATTAGTATATATTAAGAAAATAACATTTACCTGATTAACCTTGCATTAACTAGAGGCCAAGCCTCAAAACACCTGTTTCCTAAGTCTTCCTGGTAACTGAATTTTGTGTGTGTGACACCATGACTGTTGAAGTTTGGCCTTAAGGGTCATTGGTTCGACCTTACATAGCAACTCAACAGCACTGACTTGCCATGTCTGAAAGATAGTCGTCCAAGTTCGCATCGCTCCAGGAAGGAGGGCATGTTCCTATGACACAAACCAGACGACTGACTGACTGCTCTGATGGACAGAGCGTTTTATCTAAAGTTGCCCTGGAAACTGTAACTTTTTATTAATAGTTTCTATTTCAAGAAACTATTTCTGTAGTTGAGGCCACAGGGATAAGCCCACTTCCTCTTTTATTGGACCACCTTTCAATTATTTGAAGAAAGCTACCCTGCTTCCTTGGGCTTCTAGGTGGTGTTAGTGCTAAAGAACTCATCTGCCAATGCAAGAGATGTAAGAGACATGGGCTTGATCCCTGGGTCAGGAAGATCCCCTGGAGGAGGGCACGTCAACGCACTCCAGTATTTTTGCCTGGAGAATCCCATGGGCAGAGAGCCTGGTGGGCTGCAGGCCATACAGTCGCAAAGAGCTGGACAGAACTGAAGCGATTTAGGTGCACACCTCTGGCCTCTTTGTGCTAACCTAGTCTGATGTTTTTGAAAAATATAGCTTGGCTTAGGAGCCCATGCAATTCTCAACATCTCGGCAGACGTTTGCCAGCGGCCTCCTGCTTTCCAGAGAATAAATTGTCGGGTTCATGAGTTGGCTCTCTGGGCGCATCTCCTACACCTCCCGTCTCTGTAGCTCAGTCACGTGGGACGCACACCTGTTCTAGGAGACCCTCCCCACGTCCGCTCTCTCTACGGGAACAAGCTGCTTCTGTCTCCTGCCTAGCGCGTCCCAGAGGCTCCAAAGTTCCCTCCTCTGTTCAAGAATCTCTATTCCTCCCGCCCGGGGACCCTCCCCTGCCCGGTCCCCGCCTCCGCGGCCCCGCCTAGGGACACGCCCCCTCCGCGGCCCCGCCCAGGGACACGCCCCTCCCGCGGCCCCACCCAGGGACACGCCCCCTCCGCGGCCCCCGCCCAGGGACACGCCCCCTCCGCGGCCCCGCCTAGGGACACGCCCCCTCCGCGGCCCCGCCCAGGGACACGCCCCTTCCGCGGCCCCGCCCAGGGACACGCCCCCTCGCGGTCCTCCCTCCCGGGACCCGCCCCCTCCTGACTGTGCTCCTTGGGGACAGGAATTCACACCGCGCCGAGACAGAAGTAACAGAGGCCGACATTTGTTGGGTGCTTACTCTCTGCCTGGCCCTCCAGGTACTACTTGTATTAACTCAACGCTTTAATTCTATGAATTATTCATGTTATTGCGCCCTATTTAAAGATGGGGAAAATGAAACCCAAAGAAGTTGAAACAGCTAGTCAGAGAGAAAGCAGCTGGTCAAGTCAAGGTGCAGAGACCCCGACAGAGGCACCTGATGCGCTGGGTGCGCCTGGCTTCACTGCCTGCGGGTGAAAGGCGCCTCGTGATTAATACAGACGCACGGAACCTTCGAGACGTCAGGGACGGCCCAGCCCCTGAGCACGTGGTGCTTCTTAAGTGACCTCCCTTCCTACCTTTTCCTGGCGAGGGCTGGGAACCAGGATTCAAGGGAGAAAACAGCACACAGCTGTTCAGTTTCACAATCACGTTTGGAATTTCTGATGAAATCTTCAAGAGAAAGGCTTTTACTGGTGTTTATAAGCTGACAATCTGGCTGCAGTGAGATGCTTTCAGATTGTTCTGCCCCGGTCCTGAGGTCGCCTGGACAGAGGAGGAAGGCCTGTGGAGAAGAAAGCAACCTGGGTGTCAGCCTGCTGTCTCCAAGCAGGTCCCGACCTCCCCTCCGCCAGGTGAGGACCCTGCGGGTGGGAGCCATCCCAGATCGATTCTGTGCAACCTAATCAACGGAATCCTGGAGCCCACTTTTCTCCTCGAGGTCGGAGAGTGTGGTGCACGATATAGACAAAGCCTTGGATCAGGCTGCGGGGAGGGGAGATGGGGCGCTGGCTGCCTGGGTGGTGGGGTGCACGCAGCCCCCAGCCCCACTTTTAACATTCATGGTCCATCTGAGTCAACCCGGGCACCTTAGTCAGGGTTCCCCAGAGAAACAGAACCCATGGGACATGCACGTATGCAGTACATATACATGCATGTATGTACGCATGTGTTATGAATATATCCCACTGGCTCTGTTTCTGCGTAGAACCTTAACACACGCACAGACATACACACACATGCAAAGCATTTATTACAAGGAATTGGCTCATGCGATGCAGGAGGCTAAGTCTCACCATCCACAGGGGAAGCCAGGAAAGCTGGTGGTTTCACTTCTAAATTCTAGCCTGAGTCCTATGACCCCAGAACCAGGAGCAGCGACAGTGTCAGCCTCAGCCCAGGGCCAAGAGAAGACGAGCGTCCCAGCCCACAGTCGGGCAGAGACAGCAAGCCCTCCTCTCCTGCCTTCTGTCCAGGGCACCTGCTGCAGCTCGCATGAGGCCATCTCCACCGGGAGGGGCATCCGCTTGGCTCTGCACTGGTTCAAAGGCTCATCTGACCAAGCAACAGGTGCCCAGATGAGAGCCAAGACTACAGCTGGGCCAGATATCGGGTCCCCGCAGCTCCGTCATTGACACAGAACACAGACCGTCACGGCAAGACAGGCTTTCTTCTATCAGAGCGCTTCCTGTCCTCCGGCGAGCTCTGCTCTTTGTGGGTGTGCTGTCTTTCATTTCAGCTCTCGCATGCTTCCAGCAGGCTCTGCAGGATCCAGCCAGCCAGCGCCCCTGCTCCAGAGGCTCTGGTCAGCAGTGCTGATGCTGGGCAAGGGGCCAGCTTCGCTGTCACTTCCTCGGCTGCGGTGAATGCCGACCACGAGTCTGGCTCCGCTCCAGGCACTGGGCATCCAGCCGTGAATGGAAGCGAGAGAAACACTGCTTTCCAGGCGCGTACTGTACATCCAAGTGTGGGAAGAAAGCCTGTCAGGACCTGACCTGTCAGCTGGGAACAGCAGTGATGGAGACAGGCAGGGGTTGAGGAAGGGGGTGTAATCTCTAATGAGACGGCCTTTAAGCAGACCTCTGATTCCTGGTGGCTCAGGCGGTAAAGAGCCTGCCTGCAATGTGGGAGATTCAGGTTCGATCCCTGGGTTGGGAAGATGCCCTGGAGAAGGAAATAGCAACCCACTCCAGTGACTTAGCAGCAGCAGCCAGTGTTCTTGCCTGGACAATTCCATGGATGGAGGAGCCTGGTGGGCTATGGTCCATGGGGACCCAGAGAGTTGGACATGACTGAGCGACTCACACTTTTAACTGATCAAATGGCCTAGGGGTAGGGAACGGCTTCTTAGATATGACACAAAAGCTTTTGGTGACAAAAACAGATAAATCAAACTTCACTAACACCACAAATATTTGTGCTTCAAAGGACGTTGTTAAGAAAGTGAAAGAAAAAAAAAATCCCCCAAAATAGATGACAATGGTCGCAAATCATAGATGTGATAAGGGACTTGTGTCCAAAATATAGAAAGAACTCTTTCAACAACAAAATGACAATCCGATTTTAAAATGGGCAAAATGGCCATCTATGAATGGCCCTTTCTCCAAAGAAGATGCCCCAGTGGCCGATAAGCACGTGTGGAGGTGTTCCACTTCATTCGTTATCAGGGAAATACAAGCCACAACCACAACGGCACCCCGCGTCACCCCCACTGCCACAGCTGGAATTAAAGAGACAGACAGTGAAAAGTAGCTTTTGGCAAAGGCGGCGGAAAACTGCAGCCCTCACATGCTGCTTCTGGAATGTGAATCGGTGTCGCCACCTCGGAAAAGAGTTTGGTCATTTCTCAAGATGTTAGAGTTTCCATGCAACTCAGCTATTCCTCTCCTAGCTACATATTCAGGAAGAATAAACACATATTCATACAGCACCTAGTTCACAGCTGCTCACAGCAGCATTGTTCAAAGAGTGGAAACAAACCCAATGTCTGTTGACTGGTGAGTGGATACTGGATGGGGGTTCATCCACATCACGGAATGTCATTCAGTCAGGAAAGGGAATGAAGTGCTGATGCCTGCTACAGCATGGACGAAACCCTGAAAACATAATGCTCAGTGAAAGGAGCCAGTCACAAACGGCCACATACACTATGATTCCATTCATATAAAATGTTCAGAGGAGAAGAATTCATAGAGACAGAAAAACAGATCAGTGGTTGCCAGAGGCTGGGGATGATGAAGATGGAGAATGATGCTGGAAAAGTAGGGGCTCCTTCCAGTGATGACGAAAAACTGTCCTCAGAGCAGACAACGGTGATGTCCGCACCATTCTGTGAACTTAAACCACCAGACTCTGACTATACACAGACACTTGGAAGGGAGGAAATCTTAGGGCATGTTAATTATGTTTCAGTACGCCTGCCAATGCAGGAAACACAAGAGATGTGGGTTTGACCCTTGGGTCAGAAAGATCCTCTGGAGGGGTAAACGGCAACCCACTCCAGTGTTCTGGCCTGGAGCACCCCACGGACAGAGGAGCCTGGCGGGCTACAGTCCGTGAGTCGCAAAGAGTCAGACATGACTGCGTGACTTCACTTTCACATGTTTTTGTGGATGATCTGAGACAGGTCGGCATCTCCGCAGCACGAAGGAAATAACCGGGCAAGACCCCAAAGCAGACGGTGCGTGAGACGGCTGGCCTGGCCTTCTCCAAGCGTCACTGTCACTAAAACACGGAAAGGTGTGGCTATTTCAGTGAAAAACACACAGCTCTGTGACTAAACTAGAAACCATCAAATTGCACATGTTAAATGGGTGAACAGCATGCTATGAAAATTGTATATCAAAGCTTTTTAGAGAAAGGGGTAGCAGATAAATGTATGGATTCTTGTTTGAAAATACTCCTATGGATGAAATTTCGTGGATGATTAGGAAAACCTGATCATCGGGCTAGGTATCAGCAGGTGGTAAGAAGGACTGACTTTTCTTTGGTGTAAGAGTGGTCTGGGTTACGGGCGAGAGTCTCCTTTATAATAATCAGGAGGCTCAAGCCAAGGTATTCACAGCTAAAGACTCCTGATGCCTAAAGAATAGTGATTCTCAAAAGTGTCAGCAAAACGGATGGAGAGGCAAAATGAATGAGCCAAAATGTTAATATTTGAATCTGGGTAGTTGTTCATTCTACTGTTCTTTCTTTTTTTTAAGCAGTAGTACATGGTACATTTAGTGGGCCTGAGTTTACCCAACAGTATATGTGGAGAAAAATGATAATTTTTCCTCCTGCCAGCTGGGGGGCACTTCGCCCCATTTATCACGGTGACCCCTCAAGGTCACGTGAGAGCCCCCGGGTCTGGGTGCGGGGCGGCCTCTCTCTGGGCCCCACCCCGGGTCCTGAGGCTGTGACCTTGTCCAGGGCAGCTCGAGTGAGCGCAGGATTGGTGCCGCGTCCTGAGATGGGGTCCACCCTGGACACCTGGGGGTCCGCCCTGACGACTGATCTCTGGCCGCTACGAGAGCAAGGTGCCTCTGGAGGAGCCCCACCCAAGTCTCTCCAAGCTCTGGACCCTCTTTCTCTTCTTTTTCTACTGCTCACCCCTACTCCCCAAAAGCTCTTTGCTTTTCTTCTCCCCAGAGCACACTTCCTCCAATGTAATGAGGTTTCCAAAACAAACAAGAAAGGAGAGTCACTCCAAACAAGGTCAGTTCTCTGCCCGCATCACGAACCTCCCCCAGAACTGCAGAACGCAGAGCACAGATTCTAGACTGTAAACCACCCTGCAATACCCCCCACCCCTGGCACCAAAACCAGAGAAACAGCTGTGGGTGCCAGGCCACCTAACGACAAAGACACTTTACAAAAGAAATTCATTTAGCATTTCTCAAAGCATGCTGCATAGTCAGGGTGGTGCCTTAAGCAAGGAAAAGAAAGTCTGTGATGAACTAACTTTTGCTGGAAGGAAAGAATGGGTGGAGACACTCCTGCTCCTCCAGGCATGGAGCCTCCATTCTCCTCGGCTTCGTCTTAGACTGTCATCTGCATCTTGCACGGGGCAGAGAAGGCAGCAAACAGGGGCGGGGCGGTCCAGGGCCCATTGCGGCCAGGAGCCCAGGGCTCTGCATCCTCCAGGCAGGCAGGTGACAACCTGGGTCCCTGGATGCACGGGCGCACCTGGAACCAGACTCCATCTCATCTTTAAAGAATCACTTAGACATATTTCTTCTTCTATTGCCATAAATGCTGGCTTGATTTCTTATGAGATTAACAGTGTCTCCCCACCTTCCTCTGCCTCCTTGCTGGGAAAATGCCCACTGGAGAGACAGAAGGCAGAACTGTCCCTTCTGCACCCTGATGGCTGATAGCCTTGCTGAGCAGGACGCCTTCCCACTCGGAAACACGGAGGAGACCGTGCAGGTTCACAGGCTCAGCAAACAGGCCAGAGCTGCCGGTTCCCAGAGGGGCCACCACCACCCGCTCTGGGTTTGTGTTCGGCGACCCTCAGGCTGCCCATGACTGTTTTTCAAGGTGGGCGACTCTTTACCCCAAAGAAACACCAGCGATGCAAAGGGTGAGTGAGAAATGGGCTGTGTAGGGAACGGCCGATGGCCTGCTTCCCGCGGCGACAGGGACTGTCTATCCCTAGTCCGCCTGTGTCCCTTTGGAGGGCCCGTGGACCTTTCAGAAGTGTACAGTATCGTGGGATCAAACGACCCCCAAGCAGTAGGTTTCCAAGCTTCCCTTCTCCTCGGGCTGTTCTTAACCACGCTCCCATCTCTCCCATCCTACAAAACCAAACAAAGCCGTCACCCCCAGAGCAGCAGCCTTCTGCAGCCCTGCTCTGACTCCCGCCTTAGCGCCGGATTCGGGCTCCTCGTCTGCCTGGAGGGAGCCTCATCCCTCCCCCAACCCGTTCTGCTCCTGAAGCCAGAAGCCTCTTCCTCCAGCTCTGGGGGCCACACGTGGGGTCTCGGGCCAAGTGTCACCTCCCTCTGGGGCAGATTCCCAGGAAGTGAGGCTGTGAGTGGAAGGAAGCTGCTGGGCCGCTGACCTTAGCAGGATGGCGTGGTCTGTGCCCCCCGGGATCACTCACTTCTAAAAATAAATTTCTTTCAGTTATACTAGGATATGATGGACATTTAGCACTGTGTAGGTTTAAGGTGGGAGAAGGCAATGGCACCCCACTCCAGCACTCTTGTCTGGAAAATCCCATGGACAGAGGAGCCTGGTGGGCTGCAGTCCATGGGGTCGCGAAGAGTCCGACACGACTGAGCGACTTCCCTTTCACTTTTCACTTTCACGCATTGGAGAAGGAAATGGCAACCCACTCCAGTGTTCTTACCTGGATAATCCCAGGGACGGGGGAGCCTGGTGGGCTGACATCTATGGGATCACACAGAGTCGGACACGACTGAAGTGATTTAGCAGCAGCAGCAGCAGGTTTAAGGTGACCAAAGTATTGGAGTGTCAGGTTCCGCATCAGTCCTTCCAATGAACACCCAGGACCAATCTCCTTTAGGATGATGAACTGAAGTGAACTGAGGTTTAAAGTGCACAGCACCTCCATTTTCCAACCTTTTGGGGTCTTGCAGTTACCTTGTCCTCAAGTATCGCTTAAAAATAGAGTGATACTGCGGAAAAGCACCCCTAGGGCA